AGCCGGTATCTGTCCCGGGGCAGGCGGTGGTGGTCTGGAACGCGCGGGGGTGTCAATCAAAAGAGAGTCTAACCGATCCATCACTAGAGCAGAATCCTGACCACTACCAAAGAGGGTGATTAGAACCTCGTGATCAAGCTGTAATGTCTTCTAGTCTCTGGACTATCATGGAGTCATGGTAGCCTAAGCAACATTGCTATTTTCAGTTCTGTTGTTGAAGCCATAATTATTACAGGCTATAGGCCCTAATTAATTATTTCGATAGACATTTGATATAGGCCTAGACATTTTCTTTTTTTTCATTAATTACCAGGCGAATTAACGGCCAAATAGTCAATTGGTCAATTTGTAATTTAGTGTCATCTACTCACAAATAATAGAATACCTATCTAATATGTTATAAATAGAATATATTAGAATATAATATTTTTCACTGTGTGATTTTGTATTTATTTATTTGGCTTCACTCTTATATTGACACCATTAAAATGATAAATAATCAAGAGCATTTTACTTCAACAGGTTATACAGATAGATCATGTGCATGGCTACTGTCCATGGCATGGTGCTGAAACTCTGAGGCTACCAAACCCATTTTCAACACAATGGAAAAAAAGAAGCAGAAGAACTAAGCCTGCTCCATTTAACTATAAAATCAATAATTAATATTTTTATTGCATAGCTGGTATCGAATGTAAGCCATTATAAGTATTATAAGTATAACCCACTGATGCATTGCATATATCCCATATTTCAAAACAATTGTTGAAGGAAAATTCGTTGGCTACTTTTAGTCAGTGCGTGTAGGCTGTATAGCCTAGCCTATACATGCAATTATATTAATGTTTCGTTCAACGAGTTTTAGAGGAAGAAATCTCAGCCTCTGTTTGAATTGAAGTGTGTAGGATCTGTCGGGATACTGTTTGGTGTCTGTATAGGCTATTTAGATCTGTCTATAATGATAATTTCAAATAATTATATGATTGTTGAAGTATAAATCTAGACGTTATGAAGAATGTGCTGTAAATTAACCTGTAAAATGGTCTATGTTTTATCCAATTTAATGGAGTAGGCTACACTCTTAGAAAAAAAGGTTATAGATAGAACCAAAAAGCTGGCTTCATGTATGGCACCCTTAAAGGTTATATTTTTAAATTTTTTATTTAACCTTTATTTAACCAGGTAAGCCAGTTGAGAACAAGTTCTCATTTACAACTGCGACCTATATTGAACCCTTTTGTAAGGTTCCTTGATCAGAACCCCAGGGATTCTTCTTCACTGAACTAAAATTGGTTCCAAATAGAACCCTTGGGTTTCATATAGGGTTCTATATGGAACCAATTTCGGTTCTATATAGAACCTTTAGGGGTGGCATATATGAAGCAAGTATAGAACCCTTTTTGTCTCTATCCAGAACCTTTTTTTCTAAGAGTGTAGCCTATACATTTAAAAAGTTTAAAACCATCATTTTGATTTCATGGACTGCAATCCTTGCATCCATCGTATGAATTGGAGAGTGGTTATCTTCACCAGCCCCCATCCCAGTCTAGAGCAATCAGGAGGCCTGAGGGGGACTGGATTCGGCATAAAGAAATCTATCAGTTGAGAACCGACCGGCCAGTGGTCTGTCACATTCACTTGCTTTATTTTAGCCTTTATTTAGAGCATTTTATTGAGGCAGACACGGTGCTGAAACGGCCTATGAAACAGCAGGTAGAACGCTATAGTGTGGACGGGCGGCTGCCATGCACCTGTTGCTGTAAAAACACAGATGAAAGTGTGTGCCGCTTCAACACGTTTTGTATTTATGTATAGGTCTATTTCCTTTCCTCTGTGAAAGCATTAGGCCTATAACGTGAGTGCACGGTATACATTTTGGGGATAGAGCTAGTGCGTGCATATGATTTACAAGGTGATGGATGAGGGACGGTGGCGCGATGGGGTCCCGTCGGCGCACCAGCCATTCAATCCCGAATTACCTAAATGCACCGTGACGCTCCGCTCGAGGCGGCCCGTGTCTAACCGGGTTAGAGTCAGAGCGGGCGACAGTTCTATGACTAGTGGTGCCAGGTCGGTGGTGGAAAAAAGCAGAGAGAGGGGGGGGACTGCATGGGCCCCGGTTATGATTCTGGGTCCGGTTCGTGCGCGCCCCAAGGACCGCAAAACCCTTTGTTGAGCTCGTGGAATAGGAGAGCAAATCGAATCATTGGAACCTGGGCATCCAAAATACCTGAAAAATGACAGACACATTGAATACAGATCAATCCGAAATTATGCTTCAGAAAATATCACAATCACACACCAGTTGGGCATATGTGGAAACATGTATCGGACATTTTGTTTAGATAATTCGTTTATATAGTTGATTAACTGGAGTAAACTGATTAAGCTGTAACAGTACGCGGTGGCATACAGTGTTGAAACAACAACTTGTTCTATTGCATTGAAGTTGACAATATTTTTTTTAATGGAAAGTGAGTGGTAGCCTCCAATTTGTAAGTCGCTCTGGATAAGAGCGTCTGCTAAATGATGTAAATGTAAATGTAAATGTAGCCTATAGAGCAGCTTAACGTAACAACACCGGTATTGCGAGGAGATGGATATATGTTGAAGGGAAACTGAGTAAGCTATTAGCCTATAGGTGTGTAGTCCTATTTGTATTTTTTTATTTAACCTGCAATTTACGAGCCTGTAGGTCTACAATAACCACCCGAGCAAGAAATCAAAACACAGCAACAAAATCAGCCCCATGGACAACACAAAACAAGTTAAAGTATGCCCATAGGCCTTTAGGTCTATCGACATGCATAATATACATATTAATGGAGACAACGGGGAGATGAGACATACAAAAGAGTTCAAGAGTCCATGAAAATGACCATGATTAAAGGGGACTGGAAACACTAGGATTTAGAACGCCAGCTACCTGTAACTGTAAATCGCCATATTGGATTTACTTCCTAAAGTGTTTCCATTCCCCTTTAAGCTTTGAAAAGCAGAGACAGAAACGAAAATGAACCGATGACTACTGTGACTGCATGTTATTATCAAAATTATGAAAAACATGACCAGATATTTGTTTTATTGTATATTATTTTATAGGCCTGCAATATTGTGTTATTTAGTTTTATAATTAAGCAATAAGGCCCGAGGGGGTGTGGTATATGGCCAATATACCACGCCTAAGGGCTGTTCTTACACACAATGCAGACACAGCCCTTAGCCGTGGTATATTGACCATATATCACAAACCCCCGAGGTGTCTTATTGCTATTATAAACTGGTTACCAACGTAATTAGAGCAGTTAAAATAAATGTTTTGGCATACCCGTGGTATGCCACGGCTGTTAGCCAATCAGCATTCAGGGCTCAAACCACCCAGTTTATAATGTATAATTGATATCGTTGGCAAATATGAACGACCATTCTCTCCCTGTGCTCTCCGCCCTTCTAACGCAAGACTCGACTCCCTGCATGGGAACCGTGCTTGACCGCGCGCCCTGGCTGGCTCCACGGTGTGATATGCGTTCAGACAACATACATTTTCTAGAAATTTCCCGACTTTATTGATGTTGTCGGAGACATGTTGTGAGCGGAGAAACCCCAGTCCCGACACAACAAGATGCGGGTTATTCAATGGGATATAAACATGGCAGGGCGGCGTCTTGTAATGGCATTAGACGGGGCCACTGGTCAAGCGGTGATAATACGAGAAGAGCCCTCTGTGGCTATCGAAAGCCGCTCTTTTACATATAAAACCGTATTATATCATTACACACACACACACACACACACACACACACACACACACACACACACACACACACACACACACACACACACACACACACACACACAGGGCCAGTGTCCACACTCCCATAATCAATTTAGCACGCGCGTAAACGGTTAATTTAGCAACACAAGTTCCAAGGGTTTGGACTATATAATTTAGTCGAATATAGGCTATTTTCCTCTAACGAAAAGTCTCTGAATTTCTCAAACTGTTGAATTACAGACCTAGAAATAGCAGAGAGGACAATCCTGGTTATGTATGCAACTGATAATTCATGTATTTAATAAAAATTAAATCGATTTAGTGCTCACTTCCATTTCAGCCCCGGAATATGACGAGACGCTGATATTGTGCTCTAACCACACTTGGCATTATAAGCTTATGGCCCAAGATGCGCGTGCCAGTGTGTTTCATATCACGTTGGATGCCACTGAACAATAACTTTAAACTAATTTATGGGAAGTCAATGCGTTTATGAAAGCTTTCCACAGATTGAAACGCGTTTAGTTTGGGTCTGCAGTCAGGGAACACATAAGCCCCATACATAGGCTATCACTCTTATACTGAGAGAAAGGAGACATCTCGAACAACATCAAATAAAATATTTAATTCCAGAAATCAGAATCATATCAGGAGTTTCTCATGCATAAAGACGTCTGGCTGAGGGGGTTAACTTCGTGTGCATTAGTAATGCATGAGTAGTGGGAGGGGGCTGGCCGCGCACGATGCCCCCCAATAGACTCTCGAGACATTGTCATGGAAAGAGACCACCGCCTCGCTATTGTCTCGCGGACTGCCAAGTTTATTATAAACACTGCGCGAGCTGGCGGGTGCGCTGTCATACGGAGCGCAAAGCGAGGTGGTCAGGCAGGGAGCGAGAGAGAGAGAGAAACTGAGGTGGATGGAAGAGGAAGATACTGATACTGAGAGAGAAAGAAAGAGATTTCTGGAATATTGCTGTCAAGGAAGAGAGAAAGACGTGAAGAAATAAATATATGGTCAAATCACCCTGCTTTGACTGAAAACAAGAAAACCAAATTGAAGAGAGGGACTGCTAACTCGGGGACCTAAAGCTGGTCCTTGGAGAAATTTGAAAACTGAACTCATTCTGTGGTGTTTTTCCAGCTTCAACGTTTTAATTCCTCTCGAATCCTGAGAAGTACATTTCATCAAGCGCTCGCCCCAGAGTTGTCGTTCTCGCGCCTCCATGTATAAAATGGATTACTCCTACCTGAACTCATATGACTCGTGCATGGCGGCCATGGAGGCATCGGCCTACGCGGACTTCAGCTCCTGCAGCCAGGCCAGCTCGTTCCAGTACAACCCGATCCGGACCGGGTTCGGTGCCAACCCGGGCTGCGCGCCCCTCAGCACCGCGAACTGCACGCTGGGGTCCCTGCGCGAGCACCAGCCCACACCCTATTCCACAGGTAAGAGCGCGCAGAGGGCATGGGGAGCGGGTATAGTGGGGCATGAGCGGAAAATGAGGCATGCAGGAGTTTCATCTCCAGCTGCAAATGTCTGGGGATATTGGCTATAGTAAAGCGTGCGTAAAATGTCATTTTTGTTATTTGGTTATACCAACTAGGCTAATCGAAGAAGGTAAGACCATTTGATTTGATTAATGAAAACCCAATCAATCGAAATTAAACATATTCTGTTTTATATTCTCATACCTCTTAATTTTGAGGGTCGCTCAAATCTAACCTCTCGTTTTATGTTCGTTGGCATGGGGATAATTCAATCAGTGTAAAATTCGTTAGAGTGCAAATATATCTGTATTATCAACTAATCAAATTTGAAATCGATTTAGTCAATTTAAAACAAATTAGGCCTATCCTAAAATGTACCTTATTTTATCCATAATTTTCTATTTAATTCGTTATGTGGTCATGATTCGACTGTGCAATTCAAATGTTTGCTACATTGCCATACATTTCCATTTTTATGATTTATGTCATTATGGTTGAACATGCAAATGTGTTTATTTATTTAAAATGTTGCAGGATGAAATCTCTTGAGATGCACCAGCTCGTTTTCAAGTGAACCCCCCCTAAAAAAAATTAAACAAACAAACAATAGCCTACTTAGTAACAACAATAATATGTCAACTACTGTCTTATAATGATAACAATGAAATAATAATAATAAACCAAAACTTACATTAACAGAACTACTGATAGGCCTACAACTAATAACAACTTCTTTTTTTTCAACAAATGGTTGAATAGCGCAGGCTATGCCACCTTATTCGAAAAGCGTACACCTGCCGCTGCGTCGAAAACGTGATTATTGCACTGCTTAAATCCAGATCAAGCGAATTACCACAATCTTTTTAGATAAGATAATGTTTAAAAAAAAATATGCTTTTATTACAGCTCCAATGAAGGCAAACCAATGATTTATTCGAGAATATCTGTCTCTAATGATAAGTATGACACTTTTAATTTGAACACTTTAAAAATAAATTTGAATGAAACTGGCAGGTGGTCTATCACAACATTTAATTCAATGCCCTCGTTGATAGCCTATCAAATTCTGTTATTCCATGTTTAGCTTAGGCAAATTTGATCAAATTACACATTATTTAGGTTAGTTCATGGTATAATTACAACTAGGTCATTGCATAAATATAGTCATATATTTTGTACGATTATGGACTATTTACCTATCATTGCCATAGACTAAAGCAAAAGAGAAACATCAATAAAACTAACTCAGAATAATAAATGAAATCATTATGGGAACCACGATATTCACCTAGCCTACTGGTAGGCTATATACCGTTAGTTGGATTGATCAAGTCAATTATAAACGTGTTTTCTCCAGGAAAAAAACATTCAGCGTCAAGCTATAGCCTACCAGGTCAGACAAAATCAACTCCATAACATAGCCTATCGAAAAACGCCTACAATAAAACAGAGTTTATGATTTACAACACATCCATTTTGTTCTGATACCATACTTAATTAAAATCATTAATTGTTTTTTTTTTTTGTGATTGGTTGACTCCGCAGTTCCATATAAGTTCTTCTCGGACCCTTCCGGTTTGAACGAGAAGCGGAAACAGCGGCGCATAAGGACCACCTTCACGAGCTCACAGCTGAAGGAGCTGGAGCGCGTGTTCGCAGAGACCCACTACCCCGACATCTACACGCGCGAGGAGCTTGCACTCAAGATCGACCTTACTGAGGCACGGGTGCAGGTGAGTCCAGTGTTCTGATGAAAAACACGAATTGACAATAGAATGAAGTCACAATAGATGTAAAAAATATCATACATGTATGGGCCTACACCATCATGTATTTTTATTTTTTTAGAATGCAACCAATTATTGTCCAAATTATTGCAATCTACCAAATTGTAATCTATACATCCTTCATATGAGTTTTATTTTAGCAATAGTATCTATTTCTTTGTGTATTTATTTTGTTGCCGTTTTCCTCTGGTTGTATGTTTAGACTTTTCAATGAGACTAAACTATATCGTCTGTCTGTGTCAGGTATGGTTCCAGAACCGGCGGGCTAAGTTCCGTAAGGTGGAGCGTGCGGCCAACTCTAAATCCGGTAACGGGACCGGGGGCTCAGGAGGGAATAATGGCTGTACTGGGGGTAAAAAGGGCGAACCCAGATCTTCCTCGGATGAGGACGAATCAAAAGAGTCCATCTGCAGTCCCACCCCTGACAGCACCGCATCGCTGCCCGGCTCAGCCAATGGGAACATGGGTAGCCCGGCCAGCCTCAGCCCCAGCCCCGCCCCTGCTAACGGTGGCTATGCTAACACCTCCAGCTCCCCCGTTCTGCAGGGGCTCAAACCCCCTGGCTGGCCCAGCCTAGGCCCTGCTAACCCAGGAATGGCCCAACCCGTGGCCCATGCTCCAGAGCTGCTGAAGGCGTGGCAGCCGGCAGACAGTATGACAGGGCCTTTCGCTGGCGTTCTCTCCTCCTTCCACCGGAAACCCAATGCGCTCAAGACTAACCTGTACTAGAGACACAGAGCAGAGATCTCTAGTATAACTACTGTATATCTATACTCTCCTTCCCCCTCTATCTACTGCCCCCCGGGACTACCCCCTTTAATTTATTACCACCAAGACACTCTACGTGGCAATTGTAGTTTGTGAGTGTGTGAGTGTTTGTGTTGAAGTGTGTGTAACATGCATCTCGTACGGGGAGTGTGTGTGTGTGTGTGTGTGTGTGTGTGTGTGTGTCAGTTGTTCTGTATGTTCTCACTCCAACAAAGCTACACCCCCCCCCCCCCCCCCCCCCCAACACACACACTATACACAGTACGAAAGGCCTTAGCAGACATTGTGGTGCACTTAGTAACACTAGCTCCTAGCCCCTGTACCTCCTGATTAGTATGTGAACATGGCAGGGTGAAGGTAAACAGTCAGTCTCCCATGGGAGAATCAGGGGGACAAAACCAGCAAGCACAACTTCCTTTATATCCCTGGCAGAGAGATGGGACCCCCAAATCCCTCTGTACTGGAGAGGGGACCCCCAAATCCAATTATCCCCCTGAAGACCAGACCCCCGCTCACATCCTCACTGCACCCCACGCCAGTGAACCCGACACAACTCCTACTGTCAGACCCCCCCCCCCCCCCCCATCCCCATTCCCACTGGACTACCAGCTCAAACCTCTCACGTATATGTATTCCTTTACCGTTCACATAGCGACGTACCCTGACTGGCTGACTGGCTGACTGACTGGCTGACTGGCTGACTGACTGACTGGCTGGCTGGGGGAAGGTGGGGGTAGAGGTTTAAGAGTTCTGTTTTGGGATTCAGGTCAGCATTGTTGGACTTTCTCTGACCGCAGCTTGAACACTAGTGGACCAGTGGTCGACCGTTATTATTGCATAGAACAGGTCACTCTAATGGTCTGTGACACTACTCCCCCTGTGTTCCCCTGTCTACCTCTCTCCCTGTGTTACTATAGAGACGGCACTCAAGACAACTATACTGGCGCTCAGTTATTTATTGATGAGAACATAATGGAATAACAATAAACACGATTTTGTGACCAAAAGTCTTTTTAAATGGACAGATATCAAAATCTTGTAATTGAACATGATTTGTAAATAGTAATATAAATATTAGTTCTAGTCTTGAGTGTTTTTCCACATTGCTTTGAGGTGTTGTTCATTACAGAGCATGTCTCAGCTCATCGGCCCATCCTGTCTACATCAGGGCAAAGGGAAGGCTTATAGCAACTGTGTGAAGGGCTATAGAGGTTGTGTGAAGGGTAATAGCACTACTGTAATATTCTGTCAAATAAATCTAAAAGCATTGCTGTGTGTGTGTCCCTGGCTGTGAGCATTGGGGGGATGCTAAGGGATCATGTTATCACTCTTCCCTGCACTCACATAACTTATTTTCTTCTTCTCAAATAACCTCTCTCTCGGTCTCACTCTCTCTCACACCCACACACAGAAAATGGAGTCACGGTGGCCAGTCTTCTGCTAGTCTCATCACCAATGAGGGAAAGTGTAAAAATATACTGATCCCTGTGTCAAAACTGAAGCTCCAGCAGCCAGTGATGGTGAAATCAGTCCTCATAGTAAGCTGGAGAGACAACATAACAAGATGTCCTCACCATTGACAAGTCAGTGTTACACCACCACTGAGAACTTCAGTCAGTTTAGTCCTGTTTTATTAACGTGTTGTATGATAGTGTATGTGTGTTGTGTTCAGTCCTGTTTTAATAACGTGTTGTATGATAGTGTATGTGTGTTGTGTTCAGTCCTGTTTTAATAACGTGTTGTATGATAGTGTATGTGTGTTGTGTTCAGTCCTGTTTTAATAACGTGTTGTATGATAGTGTATGTGTGTTTAGTCCTTCTGTTTTAATAACGTGTTGTATGATAGTGTATGATAGTGTATGATAGTGTATGTGTGTTCAGTCCTGTTTTAATAACGTGTTGTATGATAGTGTATGATAGTGTATGTGTGTTCAGTCCTGTTTTAATAACGTGTTGTATGATAGTGTATGATAGTGTATGATGGTGTATGATAGTGTATGATAGTGTATGTGTGTTCAGTCCTGTTTTAATAACGATAGTGTATGATGGTGTATGATAGTGTATGATAGTGTATGATGGTGTATGATAGTGTATGATAGTGTATGATAGTGTATGATGGTGTATGATAGTGTATGATGGTGTATGATAGTGTATGATGGTGTATGATGGTGTATGATAGTGTATGATGGTGTATGATGGTGTATGATAGTGTATGATGGTGTATGATAGTGTATGTGTGTTGTGTTCAGTCCTGTTTTAATAACGTGTTGTATGATAGTGTATGATAGTGTATGATAGTGTATGATGGTGTATGATAGTGTATGATAGTGTATGATAGTGTATGATGGTGTATGATGGTGTATGATGGTGTATGATGGTGTATGGTGGTGTATGATGGTGTATGATAGTGTATGATAGTGTATGATGGTGTATGATAGTGTATGATAGTGTATGTGTGTTGTGTTCAGTCCTGTTTTAATAACGTGTTGTATGATAGTGTATGATGGTGTATGATAGTGTATGATGGTGTATGATGGTGTATGATGGTGTATGATGGTGTATGATGTGTGTTGTGTTAAACAATAAAGGCACTTCCTCCTTCCTGTCTATTTGAATCGTATTGTTCTTCCTTGTCCCCTCTTCGGTATTTCCATCAGAAACACATAAAACCTTCAAATGTAGTCAGTTATAGTGCCAAGAGAAACAAAACAGCGTTGACTGGTTAAATATTAGCTTTTTATTTGCTGAAAAAACAGACCGATAACAAGAGATCAACGGTTACACTGTTACAGCCAGAGAAAGACCAGACTGGAGCTCGAAACACTGACAATCTTTACAGTAAATAACCTACAGAGGATAATAGGGGAATAGGAAGGGGGTACAAGAGAAGGCACTGTAGGATAAGGCCCTAGGGAATAGGAAGGCACTGTAGGATAAGGCCCTAGGGAATAGGAAGGCACTGTAGGATAAGGCCCTAGGGAATAGGAAGGGGGTACAGGAGAAGGCTCTGTAGGATAAGGCCCTAGGGAATAGGAAGGCACTGTAGGATAAGGCCCTAGGGAATAGGAAGGGGGTACAGGAGAAGGCTCTGTAGGATAAGGCCCTAGGGAATAGGAAGGCACTGTAGGATAAGGCCCTAGGGAATAGGAAGGCACTGTAGGATAAGGCCCTAGGGAATAGGAAGGCACTGTAGGATAAGGCCCTAGGGAATAGGAAGGGGGTACAGGAGAAGGCTCTGTAGGATAAGGCCCTAGGGAATAGGAATGGGGTACAGGAGAAAGCTCTGTAGGATAAGGCCCTAGGGAATGCCAAGTCACTCACCCACCATTGCACCTTGTACCAAATGGTGGGTTGGACATCACTTTATATGCGCAGAAAGCTACATTTGTATGTGTTCATCTACAAAACCCTTTTGGGTAAACTCCCTCTTTACCTCTGTAGTCTGGTCTCCTTCACCACCAGCGGTTACCATACCCGGTCTGCTAGGTGGTTGCTACTGTAGTCTGGTCTCCTTCACCACCAGCGGTTACCATACCCAGTCTGCTAGGTGGTTGCTACTTAAAGTCCCCAGGACATTTACACTATTAGGCAAGACTGCCTTCTCGTCTTGTGCACCAGAGGCATGGAATAGTCTACAATCCATGCTTCATCTAGATATGTTAGTGCCACTGAATACATTTCAAATGTTGATGGGAGACTGTTACAGAGGAGTGTAAATATTTTTTTTAGGCTGGATCATGTTGTTGAGTTGTATTGTTGTATGTTTTAATTATGTAATGTATTGATTGTTGCTGCCATCTTGGCCAGGTCTCCTTTGAAAAAGAGACTCTGGGTCTCAATGGGCTTTTCCTGGTTAAATAAAGGTTAAATAAAAAAAATAAAAAAATGGGAGGGGGGTATAGGAGAAGGCACTGTAGGATAAGGCCCTAGGGAATGGGAGGGGGGTAGAGGAGATGGAATGGGAGAGGGGGGTAGAGGAGAAGGAATGGGGAGAGGGGGGTTGGGAGGAGAAGGAATGGGAGAGGGGGGTAGAGGAGAAGGAATGGGAGAGGGGGGCATAAGAGATGGAAATGGATAGGGGGGGTAAGGATGGAGAAGGGAGAGGGGGGTATGGGGATGAGGGACGGGATGGTAGGGGGGTCTCTGCTGTTGAGTGTGTTTGTATACTTGTTTAGAGGGGGTTGTTGGAGTATGAATGGGAGGGTGGTAGTTGGTGGGATAGGGTATGGGGGAGAGCTGGAGGAATGGGAGAGGGGTTATGGCGGGGGGCCTCGATGGATGTCAAGCTGGCCTGGGTTGGGGTGCTGGCGATGTATGGGAGAGGGGGGTCGTAGGGCATAAAAGCGGAGGCTGGGGATTGGTGGTGGCCGAGGGTGGTGGTTGAGGCGATGGTCTGGGGGGGTTGGGAAGGTTCGGGGAGTTGGGGTCGGTGTAATGGGGAGGGGGCTAGGGGAGGGGATGGGAGGAGGGGGGGTAGAGATGAAGTGGGCTTGGATGGAGGGGGTGGGGGTATGAGAGAAGAATGGGAGGGGGGGTATAGGAGAAGAGGGGAGGGGGTAGAGGGATGGGGGAGGAGAAGGAATGGGAGAGGGGGGTAGAGGAGAAGGAATGGGAGAGGGGGGTAGAGGAGAAGGAATGGGAGAGGTGGGTAGAGGAGAAGGAATGGGAGGGGGGGGTAGAGGAGAGGGAATGGGAGGGGCTATTTTATGCTATAGGGTTAAACAACTGGTGACATCATCAGATAAACACTAAATTCACTCACATTTCTCCTGTTTCCACTCATTCCCCATTTTTTACAACAGTCAAAGAACGTCAACATATACATTTATATAAAACATAATCATGAACGTTAAAGTATAATGTTAAAAAAGTCCTTAATATGACTTTGTGTGTCTTCAGTATTTACCCTGTGTTCCTATTGAGGTTGACAGGACAACAGCACCACCATGTGGTGAAGTGAACAACCAGCAGCCTGTGATGTCTGGCAGTCTTTCTCAGTAAGGATCCTGGGGACCCACTGTGTGTAGGCTGGACTTCCCTCTAGCTCAGCATCAATAAGACACTAATTAGTACATGGACTACAATAAGACACTAATTAGTACATGGACTACAATAAGACACTAATTTGTACATGGACTACTGCATGATGGGTACAGTAGTTTGTGCTACTGAAGAAAGGGGGCCTTGGACTCCAGCACGGATCAACAAAACAACAACAACAACAACAGAATGTGTTGAGAAGAGGCTCAGTCATACTGATAGAGGAAGGTCTCAGTGCTGGTGTGGCTCCATTCCCTTTATCTCTAAAACATAAAACATGCACACTAAAAAACACTGAACCAATGAATACATAATCATACTGATACTCCTATTCATGAGCGGAATAACAACAACAATAAACTAAGTTCTAGCAAGGTGTTTTCCTGGCTGAGGCTAGTGATGTCACCCAAGAAAAACTCAGTCCTCTCAGTCGCAGCCTGATGATGTCACTGAATGTCTACTCCATCCCAGGAGCAGAATGAGAGCGAGGGAAGGGGCGCGGGGGTGTTGGTCAGGGATCTGTTAGGGGGGTAGCAGGGTAGAGGACCATGTTGTGATGCTTAACAAAGGATTGAAATGTTTGTACTGTTTAAATAAGGCTGGCTAACACAACACCCACAGTTATGATAACATAGACACACACAGCACAATACATAAAAAAAAAAAAAGGACGTTTGTTGTTCGTCAAAAGAAAGTATAATGGAGGGAGTGCAATTTCTCTCAGAAGGCACAGTCTGGCATGGGTTAGCACGTCTCAGCTCAGTTCAGATTGGATTGGGCCAGCATGGCCCAGTATGCACCGGTTCAGACCGGTTCAGCTCACTTCTGCTGCGTCTGCTGTCTCAGGCTCTCCAGCAGAATCCTCTTGTGGGCAGGGTCTAGAACGCCCGCCTCCTCTAGGTCCTCCTCCGTGATGTCACTGAGAAGGAAGAACAACGGTTGGATGACATTCATGAAGTGACATGTTTCATGTTTTATTACCGACATATTATCTGATTGGAAGAGAGAGTGTGTACCTGAGGAACTCGAGGTCGTCCCAGCCGTTGTGTAACAGACCTTCCTCATATCGCTCCAGCCCCAGCCTCTGTAACCACTCTCCCACAGAGGACTCCCCCACGGAGAGAGACGAGCTACTGCTTCCCCACAGCGCCTACACACACACGCACACGCACACACACACACACGCACACACACACACACACACACACACTTTGAGACTGGAGAAGTTTTTCATTAATACATCAAAATAATAACCTATTCCCAACATTACATTTTACATTTTAGTCATTTAGCAGACGCTCTTATCCAGAGCGACTTACAGTTAGTGAGTGCATGAGCACTTCTCTTTGTGTTCTATTCATAGTACACACCCACACACCCCCACACCCACCTCCTCTGGTAGGTCTTCAGCGATGCTCTCTGTGATGGGGGCTCGGGGAGGGAAGGTGCGACAGGCGTCCCCTAACCCCAACCCCTGGCCTCTGAGGTGGGGGGGTGCAGAGGGGGAACGGGGGGGAGGGGGGTACTCGCTCTCACTCAGTGTCTTCGCCATCTGCAGCACCGAACACGATTGGTCGTCCAGCCCCCCGGCCCCTCCCGCTCCCCTCCTAAAGCCCTCCCCCAGGACGAAGGCAGGACTGGGATTGGCTGTGGGGATCGTCACCTCGGCCAGGTCGGGGTACAGGGGGCGGGGTTTAGAGAAGGAGGTGTCAGCCATCTCCAGTACTCCTTTAGGGAGGGGGGGAGGGGGGAAGTCAGGAGGAGGACGGTTCAGTGTGCCACCCGCTCCGCCCCCAAGGGCTGCCCCTCCCCCTAACCCCACCCCCACACTCCCATCATCCTCTGGGGACCCCTCCTCACCGATGGGCCGGACAGGGTGTCCAGCCGTGTGCCTGCGGGGTTGGGAGGACCCTGAGGGGGGCTTGCCCCTGCCCCCTCCAGTTGGGAGTACCTTACCGGCCGGGGGGGAGCAGGTGGAGGGGAGGAGATCTGAGGACAGGGAGGCAGCTGATTGGTTAGGAACGCCCTCCAGGATGTAGTAGGCAGGGTTATTGTAGCTGTTGTTCTTACAGGCGGAGGGGTCTCCCTCTGCAGAGTCCTGCTTAGCCCTGGAACACACACAGCAGGAGCTTTAGGTGTGCGTGTGTTTGTGTAAATGTGAGTGTGTGTGTGTGTGAGAAGAGTGTGTGTGTGTGTGTTACCTGGCTGCAGTCCCCTCCTCCTTGGTGCTCCTCTCCGCCTCCTCGCTCACCTTCCCAAGCTCCGCCCCCACGTTTTTGCGTGTTAAATACGGCCTGCGAGACACGGAGGAACACGCTAAGAACATGCTATAGAACACGCTAAGAACATGCTATAGAACACGCTAAGAACATGCTATAGAACACACTAAGAACATGCTATAGAACACACTATAGAACACACTTAAGAAGTTTATGGTTTTACGCCACAGCGTGGTTAGGAATGGGAGTGGGAGGGGGGGGGGGGGGTGGTTACTCACTTGACGTAGTCGTGTCCTGATCGGGGGGGCAGAGTGGATCTGCCTTTGGGTCCTCCCGTCTCATCTTTATCCACACTGATCCACTCTACAGGACACACAAATCAATCAATATCAATCAACCAAACACTTTCCTTGTCCTTTTCCACACAGATTCCTGGACAGACAGACAGACAGACAGAGTGTTACCATAGAGCCTCTCCCTGGTGCCCATCCTCTCTGCAGGCACGCGGACCCTCATAGAGCCTCTGATGTTGCCCGTCTCCTCCCCTCTGTGGGACAGGTAGGTATGGAACTGCTGTGCTGTACTGCCGATCATGGACTTCAGAGCCAACACACACTCTCCTGAGGGAAGACACACACATTCACACCATCAATATAACACACCAGGGTCTCGTTAGCCAGAAATAGCCGTTTTTTTTGGGGCAAAAATAAATAAATGAAAAGCTGATAAATAAAACTGGCACCGGCCAATTGTCAGTGAAAATGAAAAAATCCCATTGCAAAAGAATTATTTTTAGCCTATTCATTGATGAAAATACCAGTCGATGGAAATACATGACCGGTGCAGATCGGTCTATAGGTTAATTCGCATAATTTTGTGGAATTAAATTGCACGTGTATTTACGTTAGTTGTTATGATTTATCACCTAGTTTGAGCGGAAAACCTGTCAGACAGTGGGAGACTTGCTGCTACAGCTCCTGTTGCTGCTGGAGTGAAATGTGCTTTTATAAGCCCAATCATTGTGCAACAATTCTAAATGCAATCGACATTTTTTGACAGCTTTGATATAATTTTTTTCAGCTAGTAATTGAAGCACGCTTCCCATTTGCCATTCAAGTGCTTAGGCATTGGTAGGCAGGCTTCAGCGCGTCACACACCACTTTGCAATGTGAGTTGGATGCAATTTATGCATTTTGAAAACGTATTCTTAAATTGTTGAAACTTTAATGTTTTACTTCATATTATAAGGCATGTCTTACCTTGCTTCAAAGTAGCCGAGCACAATAAATCTGTTTCTATAAATGTGGAGGCAATTATTTTATAAAGACTTTCATATGCCATTGAAACAAGTAGCCTATTTCTTTCATGTTCTATTGGTTTTCAAATAAACTTTCTTTCATTGTCCAGTAGCCAAAGGCACAATCGTAGTAATATTCGCAACCAATGCTAGTTATTGCATCTTTAGATCTCCCATCTTTCTAAATTTCTAACAGATGTTTTCATCTCTGTCACATGAAACCACTTGCGTGGTGTTTTTCCCCTAATTGCATTATGGAACGAACATTCAGATGTCGGATCTTAATATGACCCATTTCGTCGCAGGAGGAAAATAAGCCTGCAGCAGGAGGATTATACAATAACATAGACTGCAGGTCCACTGGGCTTCAGTTCAAGTAGCCTATGTAAGCTACGTGTAGGCTACAGCGCGTCTCGTGGGAATTCTAATAAATGGACAATATTTTTTTTTTAGATAAATTGTTTTATTGGTAAGACTTTACTTGACATCTAGCATCATAACACATTATGACATGGTCATAACTATGTCCTAACAGTTGACATAACTTGTCCTAACATGTCATAATATGGTCATAACACAGTCATGACACATATGTGGTCCTCTGTAGCTCAATTGGTAGAGCATGGCGCTTGTAACGCCAGGGTAGTGGGTTCGATCCCCGGGACCACCCATACGTAAAAAATGTATGCAGACATGACTGTAAGTCGCTTTGGATAAAAGCGTCTGCTAAATGGCATATTATTATTATTATTATTATTATTATTATTATTATTATATATTTAGACCTGTTGTGACATATATTGCGTTATTTTATGGCTGGTTAAGAGTGTCAAAACCCACAAAACCTACCACACAAGGCAAAACATTCCATTACACCATAGCCTACTTGTCAACAGTATCTGAAATTGACCATTTTAAATTATCATTGCAATTACGCACACATTGATGTCAGACATGCACCTACCCCAATGCTCTGTTGCTGATGACTGGGATGAATGCAGGAGCAGGACAAGACACCCTCTTTTTGACTGATGACTGACATAAGGGTATGTACAGTACCAGTCAAAAGTTTTAGAACACCTACTCATTCAAGGGTTTTGCTTTATTTTTACTATTTTCTACATTGTAGAATAATAGTGAAGACATCAAAACTATGGAAATAACACATATGGAATCATGTAGTAACCAAAAAAGTGTTAAACAAATCAAAATATATTATATATTTAAGATTCTTCAAATAGCCACCCTTTGCCTTGATGACAGCTTTGCACACTCTTGGCATTCTCTCAACCAGCTTCATGATGAATGCTTTTCCAACAGTCTTGAAGGAGTTCCCACATATTCTGAGCACTTGTTGGCTGCTCATCCCAAACCATCTCAATTGGGTTGAGTCGGGTGATTGTGGAGGCCAGGTCATCTGATGCAGCACTCCATCACTCTCCATGGTCAAATAGCCCTTACACAGCCTGGAGGTGTGTTTTGGGTCATTGTCCTGTTGAAAAACAAATGATAGTCCCACTAAGCGCAAACCAGATATCGTTACAGAATGCTGTGGTAGCCATGCTGGTTAACTGTGCCTTGAATTCTACATAAATCACAGACAGTGTCACCATCAAAGCACCCTCACACCATCACACCTCCTCCTCCATGCTTCACGGTGGGAACCACACATGCAGAAATCATCCGTTCCCCTACTCTGCGTCTCACAAAGACACAGCGGTTGGAACCAAATATCTCACATCAGACCAAAGGACAGACTTCCACCGGTCTAATGTCCATTGCTCATGTTTCTTGGCCCAAGCAAGTCTGTTCTTCTTATTGGTTTCCTTTAGTAGTGGTTCCTTTGCAGCAATTCGACTATGAAGGCCTGATTCACGCAGTCTCCTCTGAACAGTTGATGTTGAGATGTGTCTGTTACTTGAACTCTGTGAAGCATTTATTTGGCCTGCAATCTGAGGTGCAGTTAACCCTAATAAATGTATCCTCTGCAGCAGAGGTAACTCTGGGTCTTCCTTTCCTGTGGCGGTCCTCATGAGAGCCAGTCTCATCATAGCGCTTCATGGTTTTTGCGACTGCACTTGAAGAAACTTTCAAAGTTCTTGAAAATTCAGTATTGACTGATCTTAAAGTAATGATGGACTGTTGTTTCTCTTTGCTTATTTGAGCTGTTCTTGCCATAATATGGACTTGGTCTTTTACCAAATAGGGCTATCTTCTGTATACCAACCCTACCTTGTCAGAACACAACTGATTGGCTCAAACGCATTAAGAAGGAAAGAAATTCCCCAAATTAACTTTTAACAAGGCACACCTGTTAATTGAAATGCATTCCAGGTGACTACCTCATGAAGCTGGTTGAGAGAATGCCAAGAGAGTGCAAAGCTGTCATCAAGGCAAAGGGTGGCTACTTTGAAGAATCTCAAATATAAAATATATTTTGATTTGTTTAACACTTTTTTGGTTACTATATGATTCCATATGTGTTATTTCATAGTTTTGATGTCTTCACTATTATTCTACAATGTAGAAAATAGTAAAAATAAAGAAAAACCCTTGAATGAGTAGGTGTGTCCACACTTTTGACTGGTACTGTATGTTATAAGCCTATCTGGCTTACATGATTCTCGTGGTTATAATGCTTCTTGACAGTGTCATCAAGTTTATTTTCTTAGTCCAAGTAAAGTGACACAGTATAGTCATAACACATCATGACAGTGTAATAAAGTGTATTTTCTTAGTCCAAGTAAAGTGACACAGGATGGTCATAATGCTTCTTGACAGTGTCATAAAGTATATTTTCTACAAGTTCTTTAAAATATGATGATAAAAATATGACTGTAAATAATTCATTACAACAACAACAAAGGATTTAAGAAACAAACTTTAAAACAAAAAGAAATGTCTTTGCAGATATATATATTTTAAAATAAACGTGGGTTTTGACATGCTTATGTAGATGTAATAACCAGCCATAAAATAAGGCAATATATGTCACAACAGGTGTAAATATATGGGTCATGACAGTGTTATGCCCATATTATGACAAGTTATTTCTGCGGTTATCACATACTATGACATGGTTATGACCGTGTCATAACATGTTATGACGCTTGATGTCAAGGAAAGTGTTACCGTTTTGGTATATGTTCAAGGCAAGCATTAGGCAAAATCAATTCATGTTTATCTCAGCTCCTGTGTATTCCAGCGGGTACAGCTGCTGACAACCGCACAAACATGCCAGAGTAGGCATGGGTTAGAATCTGGCCCACTACTCACCTTTGAATTTTTGGAGGAACTAGTACTGTTCTAGTTACTCTCTGTGGGCTGGACTGTCTGGAGGAACTAGTACTGTTCTAGTTACTCTCTGTGGGATGTACTGTCTGGAGGAACTAGTCCTGTTCTAGTTACTCTCTGTGGGCTGGACTGTCTGGAGGAACTAGTACTGTTCTAGTTACTCTCTGTGGGCTGTACTGTCTGGAGGAACTAGTACTGTTCTAGTTACTCTCTGTGGGCTGTACTGTCTGGAGGAACTAGTACTGTTCTAGTTACTCTCTGTGGGCTGGACTGTCTGGAGGAACTAGTACTGTTCTAGTTACTCTCTGTGGGCTGGACTGTCTGGAGGAACTAGTCCTGTTCTAGTTACTCTCTGTGGGCTGTACTGCCTAGAGGAACTAGTACTGTTCTAGTTACTCTCTGTGGGCTGTACTGTCTGGAGGAACTAGTACTGTTCTAGTTACTCTCTGTGGGCTGGACTGTCTGGAGGAACTAGTCTTGTTCTAGTTACTCTCTGTGGGCTGGACTGTCTGGAGGAACTAGTCCTGTTCTAGTTACTCTCTGTGGGCTGGACTGTCTAGAGGAACTAGTCCTGTTCTAGTTACTCTCTGTGGGCTGTACTGTCTAGAGGAACTAGTACTGTTCTAGTTACTCTCTGTGGGCTGGACTGTCTGGATGAACTAGTACTGTTCTAGTTACTCTCTGTGGGCTGTACTGTCTGGAGGAACTAGTACTGTTCTAGTTACTCTCCGTGGGCTGTACTGTCTGGAGGAACTAGCACTGTTCTAGTTACTCTCTGTGGGCTGGACTGTCTGGATGAACTAGTACTGTTCTAGTTACTCTCTGTGGGCTGTACTGTCTGGAGGAACTAGTACTGTTCTAGTTACTCTCTGTGGGCTGTACTGTCTGGAGGAACTAGCACTGTTCTAGTTACTCTCTGTGGGCTGTACTGTCTGGAGGAACTAGTCCTGTTCTAGTTACTCTCTGTGGGCTGTACTGTCTAGAGGAACTAGTACTGTTCTAG